CTCCTCAGTTGAGGGTCGGCGGCGTCGCCTTCACTTAGCAGCTTCTCTGCGTCCTCGTTAAGTGCGCGGCGTATCGCTTGACGTTGCTCCGCGCCCATTGCGACGAACTACAGCACAAGAGTTAAATAACACTTCTTATTATAAATGCGATTGAATGGATTTTTTTTTTATCACGTAACACAAAAACTTATAAACGATTTTAGAATATGTAAAAACTAGCTTTCGCCCGCGATTTCGTTCGCATCTGTTATTCCAAATTTCATCGAGACCCGTTCAGCAGTTTAGGCTACAAACTCTAACAAACATCCACCCATCTAGACTTTTGCATTTATAATAAAATTATACATTTCTGACATTATAAATGCCAAGTTTAGATGGATATTTGTTTGTTAGTTAGAAGCCTAAACGGAGGGAGGGATTTCGATGAAATTTAGCAACAAGAACAGATAGGCTATTCAATTTGTTTTTTAATTCCCCGCGGACGGAGTCGCGGAAAAAAACTAGTATTAGTATAATGACCGCAGTAAAGTACAGACAATGTAAATTTAAGTTAATATTAAGTCGACTCTTAATACTTACTTGTGGGAAATCCCATCCTTTAACCACCTTGATAGTCGCGAAAATCATATTCTGTCTCATTCTGAGCTGCTTCCTCTGCCATAGTTGAATTACCTTTACCACAATAATAATAATTATTATAGTAATAAATACATCTGCACTTATATACAATATTATGTTCATTGCAATGTTTTCATATAAATAATCTTTGAATGTCGACGATGAGAGTTGACGTAATTACATCGTTAAGGTTAAAATAATATGACATTTTAATCTAGATTACTTATAAATATTATTTTTGCATTATAGTAAGAGACTTCTCGAAATTATTTAGACGTAAAAGCGTGCTTAGATAACATAAACAGTACCTGATACTTTCTAAAGTTACACAAAACTTAGTGACCAATTAACGATTCTGGCTCAAGATGGCTTACACTATCATTTATTGTCTATGGATTTATTTTAGAACGTTTTAGTGATGGATACAAACATGTCTGTTTTTAGTTACTCTGTGATTACAGCCTTATACAGTTTAGATAGGCTCGTTACAATTTCTCAATTACAATTCGTATTTGTATGTGCGTTCGTGTGATGATGTCATTCGTGACGTAATCCGTCTATTGCTATTTCCGAATATATATTGTTAACCCTCAATTCGACGGAGATTTTACAAAATATCTATCTTGTATAATATCTTGCTACAGCAAAAAAGTTTTTTTTAGAAACACTCATTTTTGTATATGGAATAAGTACAGGATAAATACTTTTTTTTTAATCAGTTGTGCGTAACACTGGACTCTATCGAATTAAGGGTTAAGAAGAAATTTATGGGACACTATCGAAATAAGGAATTATTCTTAATTGGCATATAAGTCCCATCCCTATGACATCTGTCAATGTCAAGTATCAAGGAAAAGCGCTATTCTCAGTCATTTTTAATATCGAAGTATAACATTAAATAGTATACTAACTCTATCGTAAGCGGTGCGCAG